TTATTTTTATTTTTTCATTATTTTTTTCTACAAGTATTGCAAAATTAGACTTATATGAAATGTTTTCTTTGTTTTGTTTCAATTCATAATGTGCCACAGCGAAGCTAATATATAAAAGTAGATATAAAAATTATGTATCCGAACCGCCGAGCAAAGACGGTACAGACCACTACTAAGTAAATAATTCGCCTAGGACTTTAGTATACCTAGTTGGGATCAATCTCAATAGATCAAATGTAAACGTAATATAAGTGAAGGGATGACGCCACAGACTCAAAAATAATGACGAAAATGTATTCCGTTTCTTTGTAATAAAATACTTTACAAAGTATCAAAGAGAACTGCGCCGTAATAATAGATAATATTTTCTTAATTAATTATCTCCGCAGTTTATACAAAGTTGAATGTTTTGTAAATAACTTGAAAAGTTTTAATTAGGCATTCTTAAAAAGACGATAATAGCTTCGCCCCTTCACTACGATTTAATTTCTAAGATCCTGAAGAAATATGGAAATAAAGAATTCTATTGAAGTCAATGCCTATCTTATTTAGTAATCAGAGACTTATTCAGTATTCAGCAAACTCCCTTATCTAAAATTTAAACGAAATTTATTCACCGCATATGCACTTATAATTACGTATGTACGGTTTCATGTAAATATCTGCAAAATATACTTTTTTTCTTTGAAACGAGCATGGCTCGCATATCAAGAGCTTTTTAAACCCACATGTCCATAGATATTCTAGAGATGAAAACAATTTGGCAGAGGCATGTAACATCCAATTGCATAACAGTAAAATGTAAACAATGCAGAGATTCCGCTCTACAGGTTTAACATTCCTGTGATTCTCTAAATACGTTGTTGGCACGGTTATCACATATTATGAATTACGTATTCAAGTCTCGTAACCCCGTGGTCAAGAAAATATTTTTTGAGTTACCTTATAATAAGTAAATTCAAAATTGAAACGAATGAACATGTGCTCATGCAAAAATTATACATCAAAATTTGTATTCTAAATTTGAATCATTCAATTATTATTCTTAATATAAAAACAGAGGGCCTCATAGCCTAGCGGTCTTATTTTGTGGCAGCTAGGTGAGGGGTACCGGGCTCGACTCCCGGTTCGAGGGCAAGTTTTAATTTAATTTAAATTTGTTCTCGGCCTTTGGGAGGGTTGTGCGGTACCGGGCGAGTGCTTAAACCGTACATGGAGGACACGGTCGAATTTCTAAGGCAAGCACGAATTATAAAAAATCTTATACTTGACGCTGGCTATTGCACAAACCGTGTCAGAGCCATAAAGAAAAAAAAAATTAAAAACATCTGAATCTATGATCAATTGGCGCGAATTATTAATTTGACATTCCATGTATAATTGCTTGTTAGATTAGCATTTTGCTGAATATTTTTGTCTCAGGTTTTTTTCAACAAGGAATTATTAGTTTGTCCGGAGAGCACTGACAAAATATAATAACGTTACCTAGTACCAACTACGCGACTCAATATAAAAGCCTGTATTTTCTCGACTTGGAAACTCCTTTGACCATTAAATTATTACAATGCGTTCATTGTGATATCAATACAAAATTAGCATTATGTTCAATGAGTACATCGCGTGTATTGCTATCAAATAAATATCAGTTCGATCGCATACGTCGGTGGTCCGTTATTACTGGTAACTCGTAAGAATCGTTTTATTTACTGAAATGCCAACCTCTTACAGTGAACTGTCTGTCGCTAAAATATTGTCGGTTCGCTGTATAACTCAAGTGATCTTTAGGACGTTGTAATAAACATGTAAGACACTAATGAAGATGTTTTAGTAAATCAGTTAACAAGATACAATTTGTTATTCACTTGTGAATGTTAATTATTATTGATACGGTAAGGATAAAAGACGTAAAACAATTATAAACCATTTAAGACAATCGTAATTAGGAATTTTATGATTTGAAATTTGTTACCTTCAATTTGAAGTATATAATATAAAAAGCGTAAAATATGTAAAAAAAATGCGTGTGTACATAGTACACATGTCAGAAGTGAAACTTCTTCGGCAAACTAATTTTTAACTCTTGTTCATAGGGAGGGAAAAAGGAAGACATTTTGGGAATTTAATTGTCATTAAAATATTAAGTGTCGAAAATGAATACAAATAATAAATTGAATTTTTTTAATTTATTTCTTCGATAATTAAAACATGTGGCATTTTAATTCACAATTCGTCATTTGAGATTTCAATAAATTATTTTGCATAAAATATAATATTATACAAATACATATTTTATAAATTCTCTTTACGAAATTTTAATTTTAAAAATAGAATTTCTATAAGGTAATTCACCCTTTTCATTCTCTCTCAATCGGTCTCAATCGCTCTCTCCCTTTTCTTCGACAAAAACGCTGCACATCTACGTGACGTTCCGTTAAAATTCTACCCTCATGCGCCTAAAGAAGTTTCACTTTAAAATATTGTAAGTTATTAATTAAGCTTATAAACAAATTTAATTACGGAAACAATAACCGCTTTAGCATGATGTAATCGTTGAAGGTGCTTCCAAACGTTTTGTAAAAAAATAAACGTGGTGATTTAAAAGAGTGACGGATAGTTGAGTTCAGAGATTGCCAGTTCTTCTCGTCCGTTCTTCGGCATTGGCTTGAGAACTTGCAGTAAGGGGCCGTTGAAATATTACGTAAGTACTATAGGTTCTTTGATTTTCTTGTTTGGTAATTACGTCAATAGTAAATATTTACTTTTTTACCAATTACCCACACATTGTCTATGCTTGATTACGAAATGCATTTTCGAGGATTCCTAAAAAAATTAATACCTCTATGTACTGTTATTTTTGAGAGCTTTGCTTAATTTTGATGACAAGAGGAAGGGGAGGGGGGATAAATTGGAGTAAATCTGCTTACGTAATACTTCTACGGCCCCTAAGTGTTATCTACATGAATTAATGATATTTTGATTTTACATCAAGGAGAAGACAAGCAGAGCCAACGTGAGGTAGGCGTGTCTAACCTTATCCTAAACATAATAGTGTTCTAACCTTTAGAATTATTAAATGGAACAATAGTGCTCTTTAGTATTGGCTAAAATCAATTGATTTACATCGTAATTGTATCCAATTTTGTTACATCAAGGTTAAATGTACAAATGGTGGTACCAGCAATTGTTTTACAAGTCATACAAAACGTGGCACTATCTTCTTTTTTTAAAACCACAAATGTTCCACAGTAGTAAAAGCAACAGTGGGACTTGATTCAATCCAGGCAATCTGCTACTCAGAGAACTGGGTAAGCTGTCACTAAAACCACCTTATACCAACACGACCGCATCAAAGAGGCCCATGGGGTTGATTTCGCTTTCTACAGGAATTCAGCGGTATGACCTTATAGTGTGGACAGCATAGGTCAATCAATCAATCAATCAAATCATTTATTTCAATTAGACCACCTAAAATGGCACTTTTGAACGTCAAACAAAATACAAAGAAGATTCTAGTTGCCCCTTCCAAAAGGTAGTTTCGTGTGGAGAAGAATGGGCAAGAAACTCCACACTTACTCTTTTAAAATAGGTTTACAATATTTTGTTTACATTAGTTAATTAATTATATGTGAAGACAATGTACTCTTACAATAAAACTACTATACTAAAAAAGTTAGTATACATGTTCCTCACACATTTACAAATATCGAAACCGTAGAATATTATACATTAAAGAGTAATAAAAATAATAAAAAAGGTGACAGAAGACGGGCATACCTTCTCCTTAACTCCCCTCATGCACTATGTTCTAGGTACACAGGAATTTGAGGGTTGCTTTAAAAATACATTTGACCAAACAATTATACATATAGTTTATGTTTGACGTGAAGACAATGGACAGTGAAATAGTGTAGAGGGATAGTTGTTGTACATTATGAGAGACACATTCTATTTTATACTTAATTTATTCATAATTTGCACATTATTTTAGTATAGCGACCTTATGAAAATATGCATATTATAGAGTACATAAACCCTAGGCGATAATTATGAAGTGAGTCCAACCGTCATGTCACCTTGTATAGCTGCGGGCGGTTCTTAGGCGGGGTTTGAACTGAATGCATCCCGTGAGAAAATAATGTCCAAGTTATAAGCTGGCGGAATAATGAATTGTATAAGATTATGATATACCTTTACCTGGTTAACATTTTTAGGTGATATTCTACTCGATTTTTTCTTTCTCGATCGGGAACTTACTGGGCCGTAAGGACACCCTAGGATCGCATCTACACAAGTGGTATAAAAGCAAACAGCAAAACAACGAGTGCTGCTGTGACATTATAGGCCGGGCCGGCCTCAGATTTCTGTATCTGTTTAACGATTTTATAAAAGGCAAGAATTCAGTCTTCTGTGCCCATATCGTAAAAGTAAACAGTACAATAGCACTAAGTATTGTAGGCTTGAGTATTTATCTTTAATATTTGAATTAAATAATTGTATAAATTTGTTTATTATTATTACATCTCCCTAAACATATGGTAAATTTCATTATTGATTCATATAAAGAGTTGCAAAGTACGTTTATATTATCTTTATGTCACATGGTACAAAAGTATTAACGTTATATTCATAAATATGTTAGTTAGAGATAGATAGATACATAAAAATCTAATAAAAAAATATTCAAGAAACTGAAATTTATATTCAAAAATTGTATCTTAAAGCATCAACCACGATGGTGGTCTCAACGACTACCTCTCTAAAATAATTATAGAAAAAGAAATATCGAGACCGGATATCATAGATGACAGCTGTGAAATCCGGTCCTCCTGTCACTTAGACCACAGATTCCTAAGCAGATCAGCAATGCACGCAAGGTGAGGCAACGCGCGGAAAGGGCAAATTCGACAGATATAAGACCCGAACATCCCTCTTGTCTGTATTCCACGCCGCGACTTACGATATATCAGTATTAAATTATCGACACGATAAAATACAACATCATGTCAAAATTGGTGAGAATCGAAAACATTTGTTAAACCTAACAAATATTTTACATTACTGATCTTAAATTGAATTATTATGATTCATGTGTACTTTTTACTTTTTATTTTTCGTGCATCCTTTTTTGTTTTTTGTTTTTTGTTCCTGTTTAGTTTCTTTTTTTCTTAATAACTATATGTTATGTGTATTTTCGTGAAAGTTTGCCTGAAATAATAAATAATTTTGGTTTTTACTTTATATACGGACTGTTATAATCGGAAATATGTAAGGAAATAGGAATAATATATTTATGACGTACTAAATGTTTCAGGTTTGTTTAATATTGTTAGTGGCTTCGGCTTCGACTGCTCGTCTCGATCACTTGTTGCCAGGGTACAGCTACAGCGGTGGTAATTATAACAGTGGCAACAATGCTGCCCCCTTCAACTTTGAAAACATTAATAATGGTGATGGCAGCTACAGGTTCAGGTAAGGAAACAAGACACTACCTAAATGCATTAGAAATATTAAAAAAAAAAAAACATCGTAACCGTGAGCAGTGTTGGCCTAGTGGCATCAGCGTGCGACTCTCATACCTGAGGTCGTAGGTTCGATCCCCGGCTGTGCACTTGGACTTTCTTTCTATGTGCGCATTTTTTTTGCATTTAACATTTGCTCGAACGGTGAAGGAAAGCATCGTGAGGAAACCGACATGTCTTAGACCCAAAAAGTCGATGGCGTGTTAGATTAATGATCATGAAACAGATTCAGAAATCTGAGGCCAAGACCTAAAGAGGTTAAAGCGCCACTGATTTATTTTTAATGACACCATTTTAGTCTACAATTAATCGGTTTTATCTACCTACTAAAAATTCTTTGGTAAGAATAAACCGAGTGTGAAAGATCCTAGGCGCGATTTACTGAAATACCTACATAAAGTAATATTTCTTGTATGTTATTTATTATGTTGGAGGTTTAAGGTCTATCATTCCGCAATACAAATTGCATTTGGCTAATAGCAGTCACGTTCCAGTTATGATACGCCGACGGGCATCTCGGCGCACGAGAGTGGGGCCCCCCGTGCTCAGGGCCCCGAGGGCCCTGCTGTAACCGCAGAAGGTGGGTTCTCCTATCGGGCCCCAGATGGACAACAAATCTCACTCACATACACCGCCGATGAGAACGGTTTCCACCCAGTGGGATCACACCTCCCTACTCCACCGCCGATTCCTGCTGCCATTCAGCGCTCCTTGGAATACAATAGACAAAACCCTTCGTAAGTATTTTATATATATTGGTTCAGCGGCTTGTTTAGTGGAGAATTATTCTACATACTGATTTAGCCATTTAAAGAAAATTCAAACAAAGATATTGTAAAATGTAAAATGATAGCTCATGACCTTTACCCTTATTATTTAAAACCATATTTTTTATAGATAAAGATTTTGGTGCCATTATCAAAATTATTAAATACATAGTTCTAAAGTACTATAATAGTACAGTAGTCTAGTATAAGTAGGTAATTGAGGTAATTAACAATCAAATGTGATTTAATTACAATAACCAATTTTTTTTTCATCTTTTTTATACAATATTATGGATTACAATAGAAGTTTGTAATTCGAATGTGCACTATAGATTTGTAAACATACCTTACGCCTGTAGATTTGACATAGCAAATACGACTACCTTACTGATTTAAGGTTAATGCCATCAGCGTCAGGCGACTAAAATCCCTTAAATAATTTAAAGAATACCGTAAGTTTGGCAAAGTAATAACGCTAATGTTTACATAAAATAAGTATTGAAGCTGTGCATCTTAAACTGACATTTTGTATGAACTGTACCTGAATACTTGCATCTTAAATTGTTTAATGTATTTAATACGTCAATTAATATTTTTTAACAAAAAAAAACCAAAGTTATCATTTGGTCATAATTTTTTATTATTCTACAACTACTTAATAGGATCATTCTTATATACGTATACAATGTTTGACAAGTTTTGCTTTTATTTAAATACTGGCTTTTTCAAATAGTGAATTTTAGTATCTTTTACATATATTCCAAGCAGTATACATTTTTAATTTGTTACCAATATCGTTAAAATAACAATGTAGCTGATATAAACAAATACCTAATTATTGCAGAGGGTATCAAAACTAGAATCTTACAAGAGCTATTTTATTGAAGAAACCTTCTTCACCCATTTTTAGAATAAAATCCGTTTATATTTGTTAAATACATTATTAACTATGACGCTTTCCTGTTCTATGTAATAGACAAAAATCATTGTAAGAATATTATTTCATTTATTTATGTATGCTATTTAATCTTGTTAAAGCTATAAAGAAGGATTAGATAATGTTTTAACAAGTGAATGCGGCTACGATTAATTCATTCTACTATTTCATGTGACAGATGAACTTTGCTAGAGTTATTTTATAGGAGCTTCTCGTGTCACTGCAATAAAATTAAATAATATTTATATCCTAGCGGCGCATATTTTCTTAGTAAATCAATTCAACCGTTGAAGTTATTTACGCAATTGGCTTAGTGGCATTCAATATGTTAAACATATTATATGAACTCAAAAATTGCTTTAATATATTTATGCTTTTATTCAATGAAATCAAGAATTATATTCAATTATTAAAAGCCCTCTGGCATTGAGAATGTCCATGGGCGGCGGTATGACTCTTAACAAACGGTGAACCTCCTGCCCGTTGTCCAAAAAAAAAAGAATTCTATTCACTAGAAATATTAAACAAAAAAATATTTATTTAAAATTTAGACCGCTGATGCCATACGAATGTATATTTATTAGTGTTTAAAAAAGAAAGTTTTGTTCCTAATTCTCCATACTAGTGTGATTTTATGGAATTTTATGGCTGACCGGATGGATTGAATCGAAACATAGTTAATGACATTAATACGTTTTTGACACACAGGAGTCTTAAGACTAAATCTTCAGACCCCTCAGAGCACGTCACTTAATAAGAAAAACAATAAACTCTTAAAGCACTAAACTGCAAACGATTCGCATAAGATTCTCATGGCCTTTGTATTAAATGTCAGCCCTTTCTATGAACCTTGGAATTATGCTGTTTAAATTTGATTCATGTTTATCCTCTGTTTTTTTCAGCAACGGTGGCCGCAACTATTACTAAGACCGGACGTACCTCAACAAGCAAGGACTGTGATACGCAATGATATTTTTAATTGTTTTTTAATTTGTATACAAGCAATAAAGTAACTGAGATCGACTTGTTGTTTTGGTCTAAACTTTAAACTTTGATAAATAGTTATGTGTACGAGCCAAGACTGTACATTTTGCTCACTTTTACTCAAACTGATTTTCTTAGTTTTATAAGCGTAGTTATTTCTTAAATAGTCCGGTCAAATTAGGTCAAAAAACAAGAGCGAAGCTACCAGAATTACCATCAAGCTGAAACTGAGTAAATTTGTTCAAAACAACTTTTTCAAAATTCCCCATCGTTACGACCCATGGAAAAAGCCAGCCTTCTGGCAGTGCGAGTGTCCATGGGCGGCGGTATCACTTAACATCAGATGAGCCTCCTGCCCGTCTGCCTCCTGTAACATAAAATCTTTTTCAAGTTCCAACGGGGCTTGGTTATCAGCTGGACCCAACATATTGGGGTTGGAAGTTGGTCGATAATGCATTGGAACCAATCCAGTCTTTACTTCCACCTGCGCCGGAAAAACTGCTGAACTCAATTTTTCGCAACTGTAAAAAAGGATGCAGTGCTAAATGTGGTTGCAAAAAAGTTGGACTGTTTTGTTCTCTTGCATGCACGAATTTTCGAGAACGGTCGTGTTCTAAAGTTGAATCACCAACAGCAGAGGATTCGTTTGATACTGATGAACTAACAAGGGATACATCGCCTCTGACGCTATTCACTTGCACTCAAGATGAAGAAGAAAAAGAAGAAAAAGGAGAAGAAGAAGACGACGAAGATCAGCAAGAAGTAATTGAAGATTACGAGTAGGAGTAATACATTTTTCTACTGTTTTTTAATTTTAATCGCTTTTATCAATATCAAATTGTAGAATAGGCCTACTGAGGAAACCACATTAAAAAAAAACGCGGTAGTGCTAGGTTTTAAGGTTTAGATCAAGATTGGAATATAATAGGGATTTTATTGTAAATGAATAATTTAATTTCAAGGCGACAACACAAAGTTTTATTTATAGTAACAATGGAAATTAGCCAAACAAGTAAGTTTTACTTGGAAAATTCAATTTAAAGTTATTTACTACAAATAAGCCACAAAGGAATACTTTCTAATAAGATTAGCATTAATTATTAAATTAAAGCTACAGTTAATCTTCTGTCTCGTCAGTGACAATTAATTTATGTTAATTAAATTTCATACATCTTAACTATGGTATAGAAGAAGCTATGGTCGTTATTTGTGGTATAGACTATAGACGAAGACAAAATCTCTTTAGTCAGTCTCATTTAGTCATCGTTCACTTCAAAACAAAAATTACTTTAGGATATAATTGTCTATTGTGGCATGCAAGTATGGAAAAAGGCATTTAAACACAACTTGAAATTGCTGAGTTTTCTTGCAAATTAGAAGTGAGTCATAAGATCCATGGGAGATTTGGGAAATGCGTTTTCACGATGATTAAATTAAGGTTATTAAGCTAAAGATAGTTTCGAAAATGATAACGTTCATTCATCGTCAATCAAGTCAATTCATTGTTTATTTACTTATAGCAGGACCAATAAAACCACTCGTAAAAGAAAACAAAAGAAAAGAAACAAGTTTGTATTACTTGTTTCTTCTTTCATGTTGTATAATTATAACAATATGTGGCCGCGATAATAGGTGCGGCCGGCGTACACAACCAAAATGCTTAAAATTACTTTACAATGGTAAATATTAGAAAATAATTACAAAAATAGACTTGAAATTACAAAATTCTCTTTGAAAACAGATTTCTCTTCCTGTAACCGGCGATGCGAAATATATTTGTTGTTTAATAAGTAAATGTTACTATTTATTATAAAAGAAACGCAGGACTAAAATTGGTGGAGGATTATTCGCGCCATAATTTATTATATATCTGACCACGATACTCAGATATGGGTTACCTAGAGAGAGAGAGAGAGAGAGAGAGAGAGAGTGAGATTTATATTTTTAAATGTCAAAGTCAAAAATGATTTATTCATATAGGTCACAATGTACACTTGCTTGAATGAATGAAATGCTTTAAGAAAAATTTAATGCTTAAAATTTTACATTTACTGCCTCAAATTAAGGGCGTAGAACGTAAGAGAAGAACTGGTAATAAACTCTTGAATGAATTGTGATAAGAAAATAAAATGCTATATTCTCATACAACTGTTTATTTATACTTGATATTTACATAACACCATCATTATTATACGTATTAACTTATTGTGTAATGCGTTATCGTGGTATCACAGTCCTAGGTTCAATGACGTCAGAGTCTTAGATCCTAATCTTAGGTCCTAGGCAAGATACATGTCAAGCTGAGCTTAGATATAAAAAACATAATACGATTAACATAAATAAGCAATTTCAAATTAAAACGAATCAGAGTTCTGCTAAGATAAACTTACTAAATGATAATTATATCTAACTACCAGGGGCTAAAATCTAATTGAATTCTTTATAAACACATAATGTTTTCAAAATTGTTGCACACTAAGGAATTATTCCAGAAGTTAAGCTAAGTTCAATAAAATAACAATAAAAGTAAAAATCTGAAAATAGTATGACATTAAAAGAAAAGTAAATTACATTCCTATGGAAAGTTTTAAATGAAAACATTTCAAAAAGCACCATTAACATTACGCATAAATAACTATATCATCGTTTCTCTTCGTATAACTTGCTGAGAGATCAATAGTGGTAGCCACCACCGGCGCCACCGCCACCGGAACCGGAACCTGAACCGCCGAAACCACCGTTTCCTGAGCCAAAACCGCCTCCGCCAGATCCCTTGAAACCTCCTGTTCCGGAACCACCGAATCCGCCGGAACCTCCAGTGCCACTACCAGATCCGCCGAAACCTCCAGAACCACTGCCAGAGCCGCCAAATCCTCCAGAACCACTGCCAGAGCCGCCAAATCCTCCAGAACCACTACCAGAGCCTCCGAATCCACCGGAGCCGCTTCCAGATCCGCCGTTATATGCGCCTTCCCTGTAAAATGATATTTTAAGATTTATTGAGCTCACTCCACAAATAGTCTCTGGACTTTGATACCAAACCAAACCAAAAGACGAAGAAGAAGATGATTTGTTTGTAAACAAAATCACATTTACTTTATCAATTAATTCGCAAAACAAATAACTGAAACTCACGAAGATGGGTTGCGCTTGTTGAATTCAATAGATTGAAGGATGGCTTCAGGGATAGGAGGAGGAGTGGGCAGATGGTCACCGACTGGATGGAAGCCGTTCTCATCAGCTGTGTAACTAAGAGAGATCTGCTGTCCTTCAGGAGTGCGGAACGAGAATCCCCCTTCGGCCGTAACAGCTGGCCCTTCTGGACCTTGGGCTCTTGGTGAACCTGTCTCTTGGGCTTGGATGCCGTTACCAGTTTCATAACTGTAAAATTTAAACATACTTTTAAAATGAAATTATAATGACGGTGTTTCAACACATAATTTAGAAATAAATCGGCACTTTTTGCGGTAAAGTTCAGAATGTAGCCAATCATTTTATTACTTAGAAACTTACACGCAGCTTCGGTCAAAAGTAAATTTAATGGATTTTCAAACATTGATGCGTTACACAAGTTCCATTGAAATTTCAACCTTATTAAATTCACTGCAAATAATATGACTAATAAGCCTAGTCATCTAGCTGGTGCTGACATTTACGTCATAGACAAGCCCTCACTTTCCTAATTACGATGAACCAACTGCGAATTGATCTAAATAGAGCTACAAATCCAGGTGCTATGTATGCATGTGCATTATTCATTTGAAGGATATAAACGAAGTGTGGACATAACTATGAAAAATTTTCATCACATTTTTCTTTATAGCCCAACTAGTTTGTTTTTAAAGTTTAATGAAGTGAGGAAATAGAGCTTTTATTATACTTGTGCAACTATGAGTTGCTAATTATTAGTTAAACAACTTATGCAAGGGAAAACCAACAGTTAGCTAACTCAGTCACATTTCATATTACTTTGAATTAGTTTGCTTAGAAATTAGTGCAGTTAATTAGTTTATTAAACATAATAAGGCCTGCAACATTTGAATAATATTAAACATTGCACCTACTGAATATTAACAATGTTACACTATTTCTTGAATATTATATAATGACATACTGAGAAATTAATGCAAAGATTACGCTGTGTTTTGAATTAAAAAGCTTTAAAAAAAGGATTACTAATAATGTGTGTACGTTATCGAAGCTTACCTAAAACGATAATTTCCGTCGCCATTGTTCACGTTTTCGTACTTTACTATTGGAATGTTGGCACCGCCGGAACCACCAAAATTTCCGCTTCCGCCCGACCCTCCGCCGAATCCGCCGCCCAAGCCTGCAATTTTTATTCTTTTGTTAAAAACTCAAATCGACAAAAGTTTTTATTAATTCACATTTGTTACTTTGTTTTTCAATACGATACAGATCTAGATTACAGATTAATTTCCATATAATAATTTAATTGGCTTTAAAAGCATTCAATCTGTTTGTTATCGTAAAATAATTAAATAAAAAAAAATACAAATATAATTTAAATTTCAGGCGCTTAAGTTTATCAGCCAAAATACATACCTGCATTTCCCCCACCGGAACCACCCCCAAAGCCGCCACCAGATCCACCCCCGAAACCGCCTCCGAGCCCGGCGTTGCCTGCTCCACCAGATCCTGACCCAGCGCCACCGCCAAACCCAGAACCAGGCCGGGGTGGAAGGTACTGTGGTTCAAGTCTCCCACATGATACGATCGCTATCACCGCTGATAAGAGTAATGTCTGAAACATTATATAAATTATCGGCTACCTTTATATTGAGTGTAGGTGAAAAGAGCAAACATTACTTTTGACTATTAATAATAATCTTAGAAAAAAAAGAGGGACTATAAACAACTTTTATTCCTCTAATGAGACTAAAGCAGTGTTGGCATGGTGGGTACAGCGTGGAACTCTTATCCCTGAAGTCGTTGGTTCGAACCCCCTGTGCTCTATTGGAGTTCTGTCTATGTGAGCATTTAACACTCACTCGTACGGTAAAAGAAAACGTCGTAAAATGCCCTGGACCCAAGAAGTCGATGGTGGCCTACTAGAAAAACTAATCACGAAACAGATAAAAACATTTCATACTCAGACCTAAAAGGTTGTAGTGCTACTGGTTTTTTATATATACTACACTGATATGAAGTTATTTATAACTGCAAGAATTCGGTAAATATTAAGAGTAATGTGTAGTCAGCATAGTTTGCCAATTTTCCAATAGAAAATACTTGTGCATCCTGCATAAAATCAATAAAACATAAGCTTATTGAAGCTTCATATGAATGACCTTTTGAACTTTCACTGTTCTCCTCACATCAAAACTGCAATAAATAATTAATAAGTTCACCGTACACGATCCTTATGACACCGTTAATCGTGAGAAGATATTCCGATAATTCTACATAAATAACCTAAACTATAGAGCCAATCTGTTTGTACTATAATTATAAGTTTTTAGTTGTTACAGTCGATACGAAAATTTTAACTTGAGTTTAACTAATTTACGTAATAATTCATTAATGTTAAATGTAAAAGCTAAGCAAAAGTTATTAAAAAAATGCGGAATTAACAGAACAAATTGTACAAATAGGAACATCTATAATATAATTCCTATTATAGACAAAATTTTGCTTAATCTTTATTGATCTAAGGCGAGCAGGAGTTTAGTCATTTATATCAAACAAATCCCAAATAAATATTATATATACAGGAATATAGTAGGTAGATAATTACTTAACAAATTTTTAAAAGTATATTCTGGTCTATTCTTAGCCTGCATTCATAAAATTAATAACAAACACGAATTGTCGTGGTTAGATGATAGTGCTACCGACTATCTTCTAAAGTCACATCTATTCATGAATACCCATAAAGCAACTTCTGCCTTACGAGTCGTGATATGCCGTATTGAAGTAAATGAAGTAACTTTAAAACCTTATAGCTTCTTCATAAAACCGCGTAAACTTTCTCGTTGAATATGTCAATTTTGAACAAAATTTTGCGAGAATGTGAAAAGGAAATGGTGGCAAACTCATCACATAAAGTTAACTTTTCCAGCAATTCTAACACAATTTATACTTACTAATATTGTAGTTATATTTGTTAAAGAAAATAATGAATATATGACGTTTTTAATTTTTAGCGCTTGAACAAAAAGTTGTAAAAAAAGAATCTCTTAGCGAATATTTCCAAAAACTTACCGTATACATTATCCTATATTGTAGAAGGCAGGCACTCTTAGATCCGTCGTAAGCAGAATACTGTAAGATAGGATGTGCTCCGTTTTATATGGCTCGATTTTGCCCTTTCGCGGTTGCTTCACCTTGTGCGTGCTGAAGCTATCGGAGGATCCGTGCTTTGGTCTCCGCCTTAGGACTATCTAGACCGTTTAGGGCTTGACAATGCGGATGGCAATTGAAGAATAGAAATTGTGTTAAAGTAACTTCATCTTTTTGAATAGCTTTCAATATTGTACGAAGGTAAAGTAATTCAAAAATTAAATTGATCAGATTTCGTAAGATCACTACTTTTGTGAATACAAAAATGCACACGGAATGTGCATGTTTCATGCATCTTTATATCCAACCATTTCTAATTTACATATCTTATTTGACAAATAATTTACACAAACTAGAGTAAGTTTAATGGAAGAACTGATTTCGTGCCCTTCCCACATTAGTGAGATACCATTCTTAAAGTTTACTCTGTAACCTATTACTGTCGCCGCAAATATCATCTTAATAGCATTTGTCGGGATTTGGATGTCTTTTAGTAATCGCTGTCTTATATAAAGCGTTAATTATATTGTTGAATTAGTTTTGAAGTAAGTGATATCTTTATCAATTTCTTTTCCTCTTGTAAAATTACATCAAATGTCCCATAAAAAAATCAGTGTTTGGCTCAAAATTCACACTGCTCCAAATATATTTTCCGAATGGATTTTGTTACATTATGTATTAGTATGCCGCTTATCCTAGTCTGTATTAGTTGTGATGTATCTGTAAATTTTATTTTTAATTATATTTTATTTAATCAAACATTATTGCACATACAAGAATAATTAAAAATATAATTAAATGGTGCGATCTCTTACAGCCAATCCTAATTTAATTTAATTATATTTTAAGTAGTGCATTATTTTTTCAGTAACCTTCCGTGTATTTTTTTTAATAAAATACAAAACACACAACACGAAAAATATTTGACAAACATATTTTTCACTTTTAAAACGTTTAAAATAATATTTGCTTTGCTAATTGTTAACCATTACCTGTACACTTTGTTTCATTACACTCTATGTCCCAATCTGTAAAAAAATACCCTGGTACACATGGTATTTTTTTATTTATTTGTATATATTAACATAATAATATATATGTTATTCTTTTCGTGAATTAATTTCATATTATTTTTGAAATAGAAATTTAGGCAATAATAAGGCATTACGACAATCTTCCGTAATGCCAACATACTAAGTTCCCACCCACCCATCACACTACGAGTATAACCATATATATAATAGCTTTTAATACGTAATATTTTTATGTCAGCTTCCAGTGTCCAGTCAATTTTATTCATTTCTACCATTCCTTTATACTCTCTCATACCATCATGTACATTACTAAACAAAATTTAAGATATTTACGCATGTTTTGTTTGCGTGTTTTGGCCATCATTTCATTAGAGCTTTTCCCATTATAAGTAAGCGGGGAATGACATTATAAGTTAGTTAATCGGGTGAGGTGATAGCAATATAATTGGTATAATAGATTAGATCGAAATTGGGTTTACGTAATGCCTATTCAAAAGCGTTTTGTGATTATTATGTCGCTTATTCCAGGGTAAAAAACCTACAACATAAAAATTTACGCGGATCTTTGTTATTTGACAAAAATTTCATCACTGTACCTGTAGGACTTATGGGCAAATAGCTTCGTTTAGGTCTATGGAAATAAAATCAGGCAAAGTGTAATGACTGAGCTCTCCTTTTTTGGGGGTGAAATATTGATAAATATTTTATATATTGTACTTTGTTGATTTAAATTACAACATAAAAATAGTTGTTAATGATTATATTAATACTTTATGTGTCACTCAACCTACTTTCTTTGCATATTAGACAGCTTTTTATCGGAAACAATCAATAAGATTCGCCGGGAGTTGAATCCTAATGCGTACGCCATGTGCGCTGTTATTAATATGTGGAGGCGATGTACGAATTGTATTCGAAAATAAACAATGTAAGTGAAATAATATCAGTATTAAGACATTCGAATCTATTGTATGCAATTCAACCGTTTAGCTTCTGCAAAGGTGTTTATTTCCATCTCACCTTTCATGAACATCGTTTAGGTGTCTACAGATCGTCAATCATTTGGTTACCGATTACGTTTTAGTTAAACAACTGCTTTTTGCTCGTTTTTAAGAGTTTTGTGTTCGTATTTTTGATAACTAGTGGGCGTAGTGAATTTTAATATTTGAATTTTTAGATTCTTTTGTCAAAGGCTTCATCATAGCTACTCTATTAATATGCCAATGTGTTTTTGTTCAGTGTCATACAAGTAGTAGTGCGTGTAATGTTGTTTTTTATTAATTTAATAGGCTTTATGCCACTCTTTTCCTTATAATCTTTAACTGTGTCCAACTTCATGTAAATTCCCTTAAAAATCTGTACAAAGTTAAATTAATATATCTATACTAATACCATAAAGAGGAAAGATTTGTATGTATTATTTTATATTTGTAACGAATTGGCTCAAAAAGTACTGGACCGATTTTAGAATTTCTTTCACCATTTGAATGCTAAAATATCACTATAGGCAAAAAAGGGATCCTTGCTAAAATTACAATAATGGTATTCAAGGTGTAAAAAATGCCTATAAAATATCTTTTATCACATGCGCTGCGAAAACTATCGATGATAGAACAAAAAAATGTTCCACAATATTAAAGGCCATATCAATATCTACAAAAATGTTTAAAAAATAAATGAAGCCGGGACGAGCCGCTAGTAGATAATAAAACTTCAATACGATATATGTTTCAAATTCCCGCAGCACTCTTTTTTGAAATACTTTTTGTACTCCAACCAGTTAGTGTTGGAAGCTCATCTGATAAGTAACCCACTCATGAATTCCTTAAAGTCAAGCATGGGGTTGAGATATAAAGATCGAATCAAGAATCGTAGGAAAGGGTGTGAATTTAAAACGACCATAGTTTCGTAAGTATGTATACCGATATACATTATGTTAATTATAAACTCCTATATTTGCCCTATAATCCACCCAAAACCCATACAAAGCTTAATATATACCATAAGATATTTCAATACTTCCGTCTGGATATATTTTTTATGAAATCATCACATAATAATATGCAAAAATATGTCTGTGCACATGTTCATTTATTGAATTTTAATGTGCTCGTGAGATGCTATAAAGATATTAAAAACACAATTTGTAAGGTTAATTGTTTAATTGATTTTCGTTTTAATTTAAGTTGTACCTAATTAAAAATTGTGCAGGATATTTATAAATATTGGTCTTAAAAATTATACTTTTTATTTTTAATTATACTTATTTTTAAAGAGCAGTAGGATATCCCATATGCTTACTATTAAAATGGTATGTTAAAAATGTGAAGAGTAGTGTTGGCCTAGTGTCTTCAGCGTGCGATTCTCATCCCTGAGGTCGTAGGTTCGATCTCCGGCTGTGCACCAATGGACTTTCTTTCTATGTGCGCATTTAACA